CCTCGTGTAATTAAAACAAACAAACTAAGTATGAGAATCACAAATATCGAGATTTGTGAAACATCGTCACGTGTTTTACTCGCTGTGAAAATCATGCTGATTTCCAAGCATCATAGCCCCCAGTGGCTTAGCGGTAAGTTTGAAGGCTTATAACGATACCTGTTGTAAGCACAGCACATATGGCTATTGAGTAGCTCTGTGCTTAACAACAAATACGCAAACATCGTAACGAATGTCTGTAAAATGCCCTTTCAGAGTAGCTATTTAGTTATCGACGAAACAAACTAATGTGCAGCCGAAGTCGTAATGACGATCTTTCAGTGACTTTAAGAAAATAATTAAAAAACCCGGATGATGAAATATTCGAATGCAATGGATTCCCTGTTTGTTTAGCTCTATCATAAGGTTCTCTCATTTACGCCGATTCAACTGATTCCCTCCACTGATCGAACATTTTTTTATTTTGTTTTTATCCCATACAGAGCCAAGTGTTAAGTTATATTTCTTAATCTTTTTCGACACTCAACATGAATGATTTGATAAAAAGAACCAGCTTGAAGTGAGTTAGTGCAAAATGGTGAGAGTAGTTAAGGGGTTTGTTCAGATACAGGCGCTGACTGGCTGCCTCAGGCGGAGGGGGTATTTCTGAGGAACGCTGTCAACGACCTCTAAATTTTCACGAGTCACGCGCCCTCTGATGCCACTTCCTGGCCCTAGCAACGCGCTCTCTGTTGAGTAGCGCTCGAACTATGATTTCACCCACCTTAGCAACAAGCCCCTGACATCGCGTCCTCTGGTGAGTAACACTCAAACTACAGGTCCTTTGCATATTAGGTAAAAGTTATATAACTTTCGGTTATATATATATATATATATACTACATTATAGTTCTGTAACCCTCGGGTGTCGGCATATTATGTAATAATTATGTAACCATCAGGCGGCATCCTTTGATCTTCATTCACCTGACAACCCCCCACTGAGGTAGCCAATCGGCGCGTGTGAACAAACCCTATACCTGTTGATGACAAAAAAAAAGACTCAAAAGCACCGAGTGCACTTTAAAAAATTGACCCATTTGTCTACAGGATCAAAATAACGACTCAAAGTTTCTGATGCAAACGACGTCACATTTTCGAAAGAGACATTGTTTTAGTTTTTAATTTCGGAATGCATTTATTTATAAAGAAATTGAGTAACAAAAGACCATAAATCGAACTTACGGTGGAAGAAGCAGCAAAAAGAACGCTCGAGATGTGAACTGTGGAACAGGATGAGTAGCATCTGTTAGACTCGAAGAAAAAAAAAGAAAAAGAAAAATGACTTTAACGACCATAAAAGGTAAAAACACAAGTAACGAATCTAACAACAACTTTCTTTTCAAGAAGTTATGGTTTTCCTGGTTCATTTCTTTAATAAAATATAAAAATTAAGAATTTTATAAACTTAAAAATTTACCCAAATTGTTAATCGATACTCAAAAATTATCATCTACCAGTACCAGCGTTCTGGTTTTATCTTAAGAAAGTAGATAGTTTATTAAAATTATTGCGTTATATTTGAATTACTAAACTTAATATATATTACCCTCATTATTGATCTTTCTTTAAGTCTTAAGTTAAAATATTATTACGCGTTTAAAAGTTACTAATCAAGGGCCCGGCATGGCCAGGTGGATAAGGCGCCCTTTCAGCCGTGGGGGCGTTATAATGTGACGGTAAAATAGTAGCTCAAGAGTTGGCGGTGGGTGGTGATGACTAGTTACCTTCCCTCTAGTCTTACACTGCTGAATTAGGGACGGCTAGCGCAGATAGCCTCGTGTAGCTTTGCGCCAAATTAAAAACAAACAAACAAAACAAACTAATCGCAGTGACAAGAAATCTTAATAGAACACACATTCTACAAGTCAGTAAATATCGTAATGTTGCAAACTTATTGTCCTTCAGGATAATTCAACAGCCTGTTGATGGTACATCGCTAAACTCGTATTTTCGGATCACACCAAAGTTAGCCAAGAATTCTATAACGTTAATTTGAAGTTACTGTCATTAATGTGATACGTTTTCTTTATCGCAGATGCAAAGAGAAAGTATAGGCTTTTTTTTTAAGTCTTAGAATATACCCATTGAATTTCTAAACGCATTTTTCTAAACCATTTATACACAGTATTGGTTGTGGGTCCTTAATAATATATGTTGTTGTAGAGCAAAGCCACAGTGAGCTATCTGCTGTGTCCACCGAGGGGAATTGAACCACTGATTTTAGCATTGCAAGTCCGCAATTATACCGCTGCCCCCAGGAGAAACAATAATCCAAATAAACAAAAAGTACTATGAGTATTGGGTGCCCTATTTATCTTACATAGAAAAAGAACCGAGCGTGGCCCAGTGGTTCTCGTGCAAGGCTACGAATATGCAGGTCTAACGATACAGCTGTGACGATCCAATTCAACTATTCGGTCAGACACCAGTAGCCCAAATGTAAATAGTGGGTGCTGTTAACAAGCTATCTTCCCTCTGGTCTATCAGTTCAAGATTAGGGGCGGCTAGCCTCTCCCCTCTGGTCTAGCAGTTCAAGATTAGGGACGTTGTAGCTCTTCAATATCTTTGAGCGAACATCGGAAAAACAAACAAAAACCTACAAATAAGTGATTTCACCCAATTATTTCATTACTTCTTCACCGAGTATTGTAACAGACAAAAACAGAAAATAGTCCAATATCATGCAATATCTGGACTTCACCGGTAGTGAACGGTAAATTAAAAGTTAATAATGATAATAATATTAAAAAGGTCTCACAGTATTCGAATTAATTTCCATTAGAGTAAGATAAAATTGAATTTTTAAATGTTTTTCTTAAGAGAAATATACTGTCAGTGGCAACGCACCAAGAGAAAGAGAAACAGGGAACATATATTTATTGAGATTAAATTATACAGATGGGTTGTTATCACCCAAAATGAAAGGTGGTATATGATGCCAATGAATATCATATTAATAAAGTATTAGCTCGCATGTATAACCCAAGTGTTTTGATTAGCATTCTTGAGTCATTATCCAACATCATTGTTAGAGAAGAGATCGATTCAGTTCTAATTTATGAAGCTAATATGTTAAGATAAACATGTTGGTTAGTCTACTATACTTACTATATGATGGTTCCTACAGCGGTTCCTAGGACTATCAACAAGCTGGAAACAGAAATAAATAGTTAAATGTAAGTTTCGAGTTTTATCACGACCTTTTAAAGCATAACAAGATGTGAAAAAAAAGGTGCATTGATTTAATTGTTTGAAAACATCCAATAGGTGCATTGATTTAATTGTTTGAAAACATCCAATAGGTGCATTGATTTAATTGTTTGAAAACATCCAATAGGTGCATGGATTTAATTGTTTGAAAACATCCAATAGGTGCATTGATTTAATTGTTTGAAAACATCCAATAGGTGCATGGATTTAATTGTTTGAAAACATCCAATAATTTCTAATGTATACAAACACCATCACAACAAGACGCGACAGCTACAAAATCACAGGGTTTGGTTGTTGTTAAGCCCAAAGTTACACCACAGGCTGTCCGTGCTCTGCCCACAACGGGTATCGAAACACGAATTTTAGCATCGTAAGCCTGCACAATTAGAGCTGGGGACATGCAGAGTGTAGGTGCAGTCACAGATGCAACTGAATTTATTATGATTTAGAAATACTAGAAGTTAAGTATTTAACAATTTTTGTCAAAAACTTTGTTTCTAGTTAAGCACAAAGTTACACAATGAGCTATCTCTGAAGTGCCCACCATGGGTATCGATACCCGATTTTTAGCGTTATAAGCTCACAAACGTACCGCTGAGCCATTGGGGGGGACAAAAAAGATGGTAATGTACCAGTGGCTACGACAAATACGAAGCACGCACAGCTAAAACTATAGAAATATTTAATCATATTTTTACCCCTGTTATGATCTCCTCTTTCATAAAAATTCTAATATCGAAGAATGCACGTCTACACATAGGTTTTCATCATCTTGAACGAAAACTATTCGGTCTGTAAGTAGCAGGCATGTCAACTGAATATTAATAAAAGCTAAGAAATTATTTAATCGATTTAATCGTCACGTGGACCAGTACGTGTAACGAGTGCCACTTTCATTACTGTTGGCTGATAGGCCAAAAACATATTCAAATGATTGATATATTTTCGAATTCTACAAGTGCTTATAGTTTATTCTTCTATTTTTACCAAATGAATATAGTAACATCACCGGATTAATGCCAACCCCACCTGGCATTCAATATGAGTTTCCATTTAAAAATAAAAAGGTAAATGATGTAATAAAACAAAAGTCTCGTAGTCAAAACACTACTCAAAAAATTCAACAAAAGTAGTTCGAATTAACGGTATTAAAAATGAAGTAAGTAAATAAAATTTGAAATATCCAGTCAGATCATTAAAAAACGTGTAATCAGGTACATGTAGAGTCGTAGACGTAAAAAAATACAAAATACAATAATTTTCCTTTCCGGCCATCTCACTGTTCTGTTCTACATTTATCTTTTATACTATATATATATATATATATGCTCATACAAGCATTAACATACCTGTGTGAAACATGTATACGTTTTTTATTTATTAACACTTTCTCTTCATTTTAAGTGTATTTCCTTTCATAAACTACGGCCACATGAGAAAACCTTGAAAAGTGATTATTAATTCAGGAAACCGAGAGAATGGGGAAGAAAAATACCGTAAGATCTGCACATATAAACATGTGGAAAAATATTTGTGAAAAGAAAAAACAAACTTGAAAGTGTAGGAATGAGTGCACCAAAAAGTGAGGAAACAAGGTAGGAATGGGCATGGTGTAATAAAACTTCCTCTGTACAACTTCACAAGGGAGCGTTTCCAACAGGATTTCGTAGATTAGCGATATAGCTGGATTAAAATACAAAGATAAATAATCCTAATAGGTTTCTGTGTATTGACATCATGGATTCGTTACTGTCTATGCAAAAGTAGAAGAATCATCTGGGTGATGGAGTGCGAGTTGTTTGCATATAATATGGTTTGATAAATTAATTAATTAACTTAATTAGCTACTTCACGCTGGCACTAGCACGTGGTCCCTATACTTTTATTCTAATTAATCATTTTAATCATGAAGTGTTTTTTTAGGGACTATGCTCCTGAAAGTTATGCATTTGTCGTAGTGTATTTAATACAAAACTGTAAATAATTAACAGCCCCCTCGTTCCTTGCCTTCATATGTTTTTGTATTGTGGGTTTCAAAACTTATAGGGAGTGTCCATGTGAAATGCAGGTAGGTGGTAAAAGCACGTTCCTGACTACATACATTAAAAGATGTTTCAGTACGGCTCGTTATACTTTAAATTACATCCATTACTTATGCAAAAGACAGCCACCTGGTATCATTAGAACGGTAACTGTACAAACATTCCAGCGCACGTATACGTAATTCGTTAATGTATAATTTATGGAATGATGTACGCGAAACTCCGTTCTCTAAGCTACAAAGACATATGTAAAGTTGGAATTATTAAACAGTCCCTCTTTAAATGTGTAGTACTCGTCCTTAAATCGTAACAATATATAATGCATTTCTGGCGGCATCATGCAAGGGGTTGAAAATGTATCAATTCGAGCAGATTGGCTTCGTTTTTAAATAAATTTTGCTAATGCAACGACTGACCAATGATATAAAACAACATTCGTCATGATTTGGCGTAATAACAAAACAGGGCGAAACTTCATACAGGGGCAAACTAACGCACTCGAGAGCAGTTGTACACGTCCTTGTTACATATGAAATAATTATCATCCATAAATAAATAAATTGCAACAAAAACTGAATCCGCTAATGAAAAAAGATTAATCTGCAAAATCCATTATCTCTCACTTTCGTTATTAGACTGCTTACAATTTAATTTTCGTTATGTTCTTGATTGTGTGGCGTAAAGTTATATACTATTAAATAACAAGAGTCAGCAATTTAAATAGTAAAACCTTTAGTTCGAGCGAAACCGTACTTTTTTCCTGGAAAACGAAAAGTAGACGAAGAAAAAAAGAAAACTAATTGCATTGAAAAAGAAAAACAGATAAAATATGACTGTCTGACTTTTATAGATGAAAAGTGAAAATGCAACAAAAGTCTTAGTTTCCTAAATAAATCAGTGTTTACTAAATTATTTATTCCAGTCGGTATCAGGTTGGTTCTTGTTGAAATAATAAAACACACAAGCGAGATTTATTAAGGAAAAACACACATACGAAACACGTGTAAGTTTTCTACAAAACTTCTAGTATGACGTTCATCTCCTGAATGTGATTTACAAAATCATAAACACAAAAATAGACTGTGTCTTAAAAAGTCTTCCCAACGTAATCAAAACCATTTGAAATATGGAAGGAAAAAGACATTCCGCCCAGTTTGTAATACGCGAGGGCAAGCGGTTACGATGTTTAAATATCTCAGCATGGAAAGAAAACCTGCACACGTGTTTTACGATGCCAATTAAATGTTAAGCAATATTAAATGAAAAACACTTCTTTAGTAAATTTCTTGTGGGGGGGGGGTACACGAACAGCCTCACTACAAGAGTTAAACATTAAGTTCGGGAGGGGGCCACTTTTTTAGTTTTGGCTCATGTTGCTCCAATCAGGGTTACGTAAGACGAAAGTTGGTGCGGATTTGATAAAACCTGGTTTTTTATTTCTGAAACCATCGTTGTTAATAACGTAATAGCTTTTCGCAACAACTTAATACGCATAAAATGCTCGTTTCAGCGATCAGTTATTTAATGTGTTTTCGGTGTCATTGTTAAATAGGATAACAAGCGATCCACACCCTTTAAATCAAAACATAAATTATCATAGCAAGTCTCCACGAGAAGATCACATGGTTGTAACAAATCCCTGTCACTCTGCCAAATAATGTGCATGAACAAGGCAACAGTTGTATGTCAGAGTTGTCTAAACCACTACAATTCTCAGGCATCAAAATACCAACGTTCTGTTCGTGGCTTTTGATTGGAAGATTCAAATAAGAGACTCGTTGATCTGGGACAGGCTACATACCATTCCAAATAAAGATTCCGAATCTAGAACCTGCAAAAGCACTTGACTTTGCTTTAGGAAACTTTGTAAAACATTCAGGACATTTTCTATTTTTTTTGTCACTAAAAACCTGCTAACCAACTCAACAACGATTTGGTTTTATTTATTAAGAAGTTAAAGTAATTTTATTAATTAGAATACAGACCAATATTATTTTTCAAGGTGTAAGGTTAAACTTATCAAACAAGAAATATCATTGGAGAATACAAATCTGCTACGACCCGCACTTAGTCAACTTCTAAGCAATTATGACAAATACACGTTTATTTGTAAAGTTTAGCTACAACGACCAGCACTTAGTCAACTTCTAAACAGTTATGACAAATACACGTTTATTTGTAAAGTTTAGCTACAACGACCAGCACTTAGTCAACTTCTAAACAGTTATGACAAATACACGTTTATTTTACGTAAAGTTTAGCTACAACGACCAGTCACTTAGTCAACTTCTAAGCAA